CACTTACCTTGACTCTGCTCAACTCATGAATAACTTGACTTGATATAAAGCAACAAGACATATGCAATATATAGAAGCTGGTAAAACAATGTAAATACTTAGTTCGTTAAAGAAAATGCAATAACAAACTCAACTTTACTTATATATAAAAATAATATAGTTTCTATGAGAGATTCTCTAACCGATAACTACCACTATGAGCCTAAGTGGTGATACAATGTCTTTCCACACTGCCAGTGTCCTACACTTTGTAGTCACATAGAACTCCTTAACTTAGTGAATCCAATAGCTTAACTTGCGTGATTATCTAAAAAGTATGACCCATTAAGAGCCATGACGGCTACATGGTTTTCATGCAGACTTGAGTTAATATGAACGCTAATCTCCATATTGGTGCTCAATACTACTCCCAAAATATACTTTAGCTCATGCTATTAAAAATAACTTCCTTTTTTTGGGATGAGATAATCGCTCAACATTTATCTTTAAAAAACTCTCCTAAAATCAATGTTCCCTTTTCTTGTTCAAAACTCTTTTTGAAAATCTTAGTTTTATCTTAATTAAAATGTGAAAACATTTATAAAATTTTAGGTAATACTTAGTTCCCAATTAACTTTTGAGAAATGAGCTCAACTCTTTACTCTTTGATTAACTAGAAACTTGAGTCTTAAATCAACTCTTAGAGAATACTTAGTTCCCTTATACGTCTTTGAAGAAAAACACTTCAACTCTTTATAACTCTTTACTTAACTAGAAACTTGAGCCTTAAAATAAAGTTAAAAAGTTTAATAAGAACTCTTGAAACTTTAAGAAACTTCGCTTTGACTTACTTCTTAACCTTTAGACTTAACTCTTAATTTCTTAGACTTTGATCTTAGCTTTTCTCGAATTGGATTATGGATTCAATGTTTATGATAACATGTTTATGGATAACTTCATGATGTTTATATGTACCTTAGAGTATTGGAATCAACTAAGATAACGTGGGTACATCATTTAGGAACTAGTATGAAAAGATGAGAAATAAATGGGAAGAACTGACGTCTCTGGTGCGGGGCGCCAGCCCTCAAACTTCAGAGAAGTTCCTGTGGCGTATTGGTTGCGCGACATGCCAGAGGCCATAGTCCAGAGGAATTTTTCTGGCGCCCTGGCAGACCCGTGTTAGGTAGTGGAGCCTGATTAATTTTAGGTTTTCCTATTTATTCTCTATTTTAGGTTTTCCTATTTATTCTCTATAACCAAAAATACTCCGAATTATTAATATAAATATACCTCATCGCCGTGAAAGTTTACTCACGGGGTGTTACCACGAAATATTGGGTTTTCTCTTTCTCTCTCTAGATCTCTCATCTCTTTCTCTTGAAAGTTCTTGTGTTCTTCATTCATCTAGTGTGTATGCGTTGTTGACACCCAATTTTTGACCCGCGTTGGTATAAATTAATTATCGAGCTTCATGAGTTTTTAAATTATTTAAGTTAATTAGTTTTATAAGTCTTGCGAAAATTAAAAAAAATATATATATAAAAAAAAAATATGTATATATATATATATATACATATATATGTATATGTATATGTATGTATGTATGTATATCTTAAGTTTGGAAAGTATTCTATTAAACTAGTTTACTTTAAATCACAACTATATTTTGAATCTTTATTTTATAATCTAAGTAGTTATGTTGCTAAATAAATAGGCTCGTTAATTAATTAATACAAATTCGTTTATTTAATGCTTAACGAGTTTATCATTTTTATTTAATCCAACTCATTGCCCCTTCAAGCACATCTAAAACGTTTGGGCCTCTTTCCTCTTATTCTTAATGGCCCAAACCCTTTAATCCCAACCCATTTCCTTTTGTTACCATCAGCCCACTCTTATTCCCAACCCAATTACACCTCAGGCCCATCTCCCTTTAATTTTAACCCAACCCAAACCCCCTAATTTCCTACCCGACCCAGCCCCAAATCTCTTGACCCGCTCTCTCCCTCATCTCCCCACGCTCTCGCACTCTCGTCCTCTCTCCTCTCCTTACCTCTCTCCCGCGTCTCACGCCCACGCTCGCTCTCTCCTTTCCCTCTCGGCAGAACCCAGAAAAACAGACGTCACTTCCTGCAAACGCCAACAACCCCACGTTCTTCTCCTTTCCCCTCCATTTCGCGACTCGCCAACAACCCCGCAGAAACCCATACCCTGTCGAGCAGGTCTGCGAAACGTCGTATGTCACCCTCGCCAACACGCAATGGCCATGTGGGTTTTGACCCAAAGGGATTTCGATTTTGAGTTCAAAAAATGGGCGAAAAATCGTATCACCGACCCTACATAAACCCCTCCCATCTTCATAAAAAGGGGGTTTTTTTTTTACGAAAAGGAAGGGGATTTTTTCATTGAAAATTCGAAAAAGTAGAACTTGGGTGGGACATTTGGTCAAAATTAAGGCTGAATCTTTGGTCGAAACTTTTGGAAGCAATTTGAGGTTGGAGATTTCTGGACGAGAAGAAACTGTTTCGTCGAGTGTCGTTGCGACGTTCTTGTTCGAACGAGCGAAGCAGAGGGTGATTTCGGGTTCGTGATAGTGGTGCTCCGCCTGCTCGCTGTTCCTGTTTCGCTGCACTTAAAGAGGTAACACCCATCTTGACCCTCGACTCTTAGTTGTATTTGCTGTTTGTACGTTAGTGTTTAGGTTGGTCCTAGCTGCTGTGAATTTGTTGTATTGCAGAAGTTGTTTGAAATTCGTGGTTTTGTCTTGTCTTCGCTTGATTTTGTCGCAACTTCCTATATTTGATAAAGTTTTAAAGGGAACGAACGGTGTGTTTGGGGTATTTCGATCCGCCGAGTCTGTTTCTGCTCGTTTCCTACTTCTTCCTCCTGTTTGTATTCGTACATGAATTAGTCTAAGGGAATCCTTCGTTATTCTGCTTATAATGAGTTGTAGATGTTACCCGTTTGGTCGAAGTGAAATCCAATTTCACTTCAAACTCTTCTGTCATCATCTTTATTGTTATTTCTTCTTTTGTTTTTCTTTCACTTTGATGTCAAACTGATGTGATGATGGGTTCGACAGAAGCGAAGTAGTGCATTGAATGATAATAGTGATGTCTTATTTTGGAGTTTTGTCCTTTTTCTTTGTTGTTAGTTCGACAAGTCAAATTTTAAATTCAAAGATTGCCATATACATGCCTTGTTCTGTGAAATTGAAAGTTCATTGTTTGGTTGGGTAAGTAAAATCGCCTCAATATAGTTATTTACCTTGGGTCGACTCGCATTTGTCATTACTTTTCTCTTCTGTCGTCTCTTTCATGTTGCGCTAGTCCGACCTTTCTTGTTACATGTTGTCGTGTGTCTATTGATCCGATTAGATACTATCCATGGATATGCATTTTCTATTAAGTTAGTTTGTTTTCTTGTATATGTGCCCGTTGAATCGAATATTAATTCCTTTTGTTTATTGTGTGGCATGTAAAATCCGTTTGAGTTCACCACGAACTCTCCTTCTCCGTATCTCGAGAGAGTCGTAAAGACTCATAGTCTTTTACCAAGCAAGACAACCTTAAGAGAGGCGTACAAGTCATGAAGTTGGAAGGAGAATCCAAAGTGGATTAGAAGACGTTTCTTTATTTTGTTTCCGTATTTTATTTTGTAATGGGCATAAGCCCTTGTCATTTTCCTTTCCTTATTCCTCTTATATTTTATCTTGTAATGTTTAGACTTGGACAGGTGGCAAAATGGGTCGAAACACCCAAAAACAGGTGGGTCCAAAACTCGGTCAAGGCGAACAGTACCCGAGTTTGGACCCAAAAATCTCTCTCTCTCTCCTTATTACTTGCTTATGTGCGTTGTTTAAAGTATCGTTAGTGTTAGGACTAGAAAAATCCAAATCTCCTTCGAAACGCCTTTCTATTTTATCAAGCTAAAACTAAGTCTTAAAACATTGGACGTTTCAAATTCACTAGTTCGTTTAGAGTTTAAAATTTAAAAAGTTTAACTTTAAAAGAATCTCAAAAACAATAAGTATTTCAACTTTTAGATTTGTCCAAATAAAGCTCTAATAAAGGTTCAACTTCAAATTCGCAAAAGGTTAAAAAGTAGTCAAATAAGTTAATCGCCGGAAAACCGTGTTTAACGGAGTATCTTAGGTGCCTTACACCTTCCTAAGACACTAATAAGAATCCCGAACCCTTAAAAAATGTTTCAAAACAATTGTTCTGTTTAGGTTGTTTAGAAGCAAAGTTTTCTTGATTTTTCTTAAAAATTAAGTGGCGACTCCTAAAAGTCGAAAAACAAACTCTTTTCGAAAATCACCCATTTTTCGATAAAACAGAAATGGCGACTCCGCTGGGACTTGGAGGATTCTAACCTTAAGATTAACGTATTTGATTATTTGTGATTAACTGTTTAAGTGTTTAAATTAATTAGATTTTTTAAGCTGTTGCATACATAGCATACATACTTCCGTCAAACGACACTTTTTTACATTTCCACTAAAGGACGATTATGCGGGTTCGCAGTCGTTCGTTAACCAAAATCTTCTCGGGGCACCCTGACGAGTGTAGTTGACTACTTGATAGTCAACGATCGTTAATTGTCCCAGCCCAAGTAGTCCGCTTGGGTTACCCAATCCACTCTAAATACAACCCACTCTTAGTCAAACTAGGATAGAGCGAAACCAAATCCCAAAAATAGTGCATTGGCCTAGGATGACCCGACACCCAGGGAGTGTCGGGCCCATTAGAAAGTCCACCTTGAGTCCAAAGAGCCTGCGGCTCGATAGGACGCTCATGTTTGTTGTTTAAATTTGAAGGATGTATTGCGTGTTTAACTAGTTGTTGTATCGGGGGGATTGAAAATTAACTAGTTGTATATTTTTGTAGATGTCAAGTCAGTTCCTTCACTTCAAAATGGTCACCCAGGCACCCGACATTCTTCGAGTATGGTGGAGCAATCTTAAGGAGTGTCAAAAGAGAGAAATCTCGATTTACTTGGGTCACCTACCTTCGATAATGGACTTCAAGGTATGGCCCACATTCATCGAGGTCATCACCCGATTTTGGGACGATGATAAAATGGTCTTTCGATTTGGAGATGTCGAAATAGCGCCCACACTAAAAGAGATCAAAGATTGCCTTGACTCGATTGGGACGTGTGGCAAAAGGAAAAAGCGTCCCGATCATCACATTCTCTTACCAGATAGGCCAACCAAGAACGAATTGAGGGATATGCTATTCCTAGTGAATGCAGATTGGTTAGAGACCAACAACATTCCGCTGATGAGGTTTTTCGAGAGGTGGGGGCACGACAATTATTTTAGATTGTTCCCGGACGAATTTCATGATCACAGTACTTGGAGGCAAACCCAAGCTATCGCTTTCTCCGCATGCCTCTTGGGAACTATGGTGTTCCCTAAAGACGAAGGTAAAGAGATCGACACCCGGGTAATAATGGTAGTGAATGCCATGTTCAGAGGAGTCGGTAGAAAATCTGAAGAAAAGAAATATTGCTGTTTGGCCCCAGTCATCCTGTCCGACATTTACCGATCTTTGAGCCTGTGCAAGAATGGTTTTCCGTTTTTCCAAGGTTGCAACATCTTACTTCAATGGTGGTTGACGGAGCATCTATGCAAAAGAGACAACCCCCAGCTACATGGTTTGGCCGAACCAAGTCAAACAAGTCCTCTCAATAATTACGAGTTCTACTTGAGTATCCGTAAATTTCCAATTCACACCACCAGGGATGCGTGGGCAAAGGTGTTTTACAATTTGAAAGAAGGAGACATACAATGGGTATTACCGAGCTTCAGGTCTCAGATGATAGCAGCCCAAGGGGCCAAATTGCCATTTTTAGTCCTTCCCGGCATCAGAGGATTGCGTCCTTACAACCCGACACGAGTAATGCGGCAATTTGGGAAAGTCCAAATCATACCCGCCCAAGGAGATGCCAGCTCTTTCATTGTTGATTACAACGGGAAGGACAAAATACCTTTCGCTAAAATTATCCTCCAGGAATGGGCCGGACGTGTCAACATGAAGTGGGAGGTCACCGAAGATAGGTATGGAGCTGGGTATGTCGACGAATATAAGACATGGTTGCATAATAATTTGCATGGTGTAGTGGATCCGACACCACGCACGAGTCGGAAAATCGAAGACGTGGAGACAAGGCTTCAGATTCACGCGTACCATTTTCAGCAAGAGTGGGACCGGAGGGAGCAGGAATTCTATAAGAAAGAACAGGAATTTCAACAAAGGGAGCAAGCGTACCAACTCCGGGAATTAGAAAATCAGAGAGTTTTAGCCGTAATGTCACAAGAATTAGCTGACACAAGGACTTGCCTAATGCGTTTGGACACTATTTTGGACGAGCAGATGAACACCTTACAAGCCGTACCAACATCTTCCAAAGCTGCGTTCGCTGAGCCATACGTGTTCACCAGCAAATGCATTATCCGAGAAGAAGTGGAGAAGGCCAGAAGAGGAGCTGGATCATCGACCTTTTAACTCCCCTGCGTGGGATTGATTTTATATGTGTATTTGCACTACATCCCCTTCCCAAGATATATCCCGTTTAATTTTGATTGTGTAATGAACGCTATGACATCTAGTGAAATTTGTTTTGGGGGTACAATTACTTATTTAAATGGGCAATACATCCTTCAGATCGCTAGGCCTACCCTTGGCACAAAAGGGTCACATGCATGTTTAGGACACGATATATTTGTTTAAATGTTTATGTGTTATGTTGCTTTGATTGAGGATATCGTAAACCCACTCCTAGCCAAAATCCTAAAGAGTATACAGAAGCCAACATTACAATTGTCCGACCAAAATTCCCGAGTCTCAAGTTTCTCACACAAAATCCATACCATAAATCCTAAATACCACTCTATCATCTCAGGAAAGTTGAATCACCGCTATGGACAAAGGCAAGAACGTCCAGACGTAGCTCACTGAGGAGGAATTGCGAAGAAAGATCGAGTGAGTCACTCGAGAGATTCAGAAGGTTAAGGAGGAAGGACTCAAAGTAGACGTGACCACGACAATCTACAAGGCTGCGGTCACAACCTTGGATGAAGATCTGGCGTCACAGATAAAGAGAAAGAAGGAGGTTGAGAGGGAAACCGAAAGCCTAAGGAAAAGGTTGAACTTGCTTCGTTTGGAGATACACGAAGGAAAGGCAAGAGAGGCGAAGATAGATATCGAGACTGCTGTGTTATTGGACAGAAGCGCGGCGATCGACGAGGAATTGGCAACCCATAGCGACCCAAAGGGCGGAAAATACCTCGCCCGTGATCAGGGAACAGGCAACAGTGGCCCCGACCATGAAGTGATTGAGGAGGATGATGAAGAAGAAATCGTCTACAAGCCTCCATTTTCGACTGTCTGAAAGGAAAGGAATGACGCAGCCACAAGGCAAGAAATCTCCAAATGTGGTCTTCCAGAAATCTCAATGTTGTTTTTCAATTCCCTTGTAATCACAACGAAAGAATGAATGGAAAATTTTCATCCTAAAATCCGAACTACGTTGGGCCTGAATTCTCCCGTGAGATACGTAGGCAGCCTTCCCGGCCCGGCCCCTATCACAGAAAATTTTCATTCTCCTCCATGTTTCGGAGATACGAAGATAAGATCAACGGACGTCGCAAAGCAGCTGCAAGAAGACCATAGCTCAACGTGATTCAGATTTCCCAAGATAGCGCCAAACAAACAAATTCCTGTTTGTTCAAAATATATATCCGTCCTTATTCGTGGGTTAAGATATCCTCAAACAAAACGACTTGTGTGTTTATCTGTTTTATGTGCGATATTATGCATTTTGTACTCTGGATATGTACTAACAAATTTGCCTTTGAGTTGTTTTTACCTCTCAGGTACCTTTTACTGATCTGTGTCGATAAAGCTGGCAGATAATCCTTACTTCACCAGGTCAAAAGGTCCTACAGATTCCTTCCCTCGATCAAATTCAGACAAAGGAAAAACAGTTATGGGAGACAACAATGACGAAGGGCGTCTTACTGACGTTGTGGTGGCTCAGCCCACTGTAGTGGAACAGAACGAATTGATCATGCAGCTGATGCAACAAATTGCTGAAATGAAAGTTGAAATGCAACGGAGACAGGATGCGCCTCCACCTGGATTTGGTACTAATACTGCTGATGCAAGACCTCCGGTCTACTTCCCTTCATCAAACATAGATCCAACTCAGAACCAGCCTTCTACACCTGTGCATAATCCGTCTGTGATTGACCTCACAACCCAAAACCCTCAATACGCTTCTGCATCTTACCAAACTCCTTCACCTCTTCCAAATAACCACCCTCAAATACCACCCCATCCTCAGAATACTCAAACTGCCCCACCGCCACAAAATCAAAACCAAACTCAAACTGCCTTCAATACCCAAGCATTTCATCCGCATTTGAGCCAGAACACCAATCCTCAGGTCTACCCACAAAACTACCAGACCGCCCAAAACGTTCCAAGTCCCTCTATAGCTCCACCCCTACCAAAAAGAGCCACCTTCCAAGTTCCCGCTCCTGCCGAGCACGAGGTGCACGGTTCTGAGTTGGATCACTATGAAGAACAGGAAAGAGAATGGAAGGCGAAAGAAGAAGTGAAGATCGATATAAAGGAAGAAATCAAAAGGGCTATGAAAGAGCTGCAGTGCATCCCAGACGCCGTCGGACTTAGCTACGCAGAATTGTGCATCCATCCAGATTTGAACCTTCCCGAAGGTTTTAAAATTCCGAAGTTTGACACCTTCGGAGGAGTGGGCAATCCTATGGCGCATTTGAGAGCGTATTGTGACCAGCTCGTGGGAGTTGGCAGGGATGAGGCCTTGTTGATGCGGCTTTTCAGCCGAAGTCTGTGTGGAGAGGCCCTCGAGTGGTTTACTTCACATGAAACCAGGCAGTGGCCCAGTTGGAATGCATTGGCTAAGGACTTCATTGACCGATTCGCCTACAATGTTGAAATAGTGCCCGATCGGTATTCTTTAGAGAAGATGAAGCAGAAACCAACTGAAAGCTATAGGGAATTTGCCTATAGGTGGAGGAAAGAAGCGGCGAGGGTAAGACCACCCATGACCGAGAAAGAGATTGTGGAAGTATTCGTGCGGGTACAGGAGCCTGAGTACTATGATCGGATCATATTGCTAGTCGGAGCTAAATTCGCTGAGATAGTCAAAGTTGGTGAGACTATCGAAGATGGTCTAAAATCGGGGAAGATAGCCCGTGTATCTGCGTCGCCTGGATCTTCAGGATTGATAAGAAAGAGAAGAGAGGAAGTTGCCGCTGTCTCGTATGGGGGAAGAAAAACCCCTAGAAACCCGTCACATTCCCAAGATCGTTTCAGGCCTTCCCCAAAGTCCCACCGATCCAACTACCCACAATCCAATCATCCTAATAACCACAATACTGTCCCCACCTATCAGAGTGCTCAAATTTCGTCGTACCAAAGTCCACCCTCTAATCTCCAAAATTTTTCTCCCATATACCCAAATTACCCTCAACCATACCAGATCCCATCCCCTTATCAGAATATTGCTCCCAACTGTGCCAACGTACAGTCGAGCTACCGACCACCTCCGTCCACTTATCAAGTCCAAGCTCCATTATACCAGGACCCCCTCCCGAATTACCAAGCTACAATGCCAAATTTCCAGGCAAGCCCTTATCCCCGGGGCCAAGCTCCTCGTACAAATACCCAAAATTATCAGCGGGTGCCTCCCCCTCGGCAAAGCAATTATGATACTTCCCGTCCGAGACCTGAAAAAAGGCCTTCAAGGAACTTTACCACACTTGCTGAAAGCCGGACCAAACTATTTGAGAGGCTAGCCGCAGATGGATACATCCACCCTGTGGGGCCCAAACCCGGGGATGTCAACTCAAAGTTCTACAGGCCAGATCAAAGGTGTGCTTATCATTCCAACAGTGTTGGACATGACACGGAAGATTGCATCAACCTCAAGCACAAAATCCAAGACCTGATCGATCAAGAGGTAGTTTCTCTTCAATTGGCGGTGCCAAACGTCAACACAAATCCGTTGCCGAATCATAGAGGTGACAACCTTAATATGATTGAAACGGATGAAGACGGGTGTGGAACAAAGATGATTACCCCTATTATGCATGAGGACTTGGAAAGGGCTGTCGCTTCTTTAAGCGTCAAAGAAAGGAGGAAGTTTGTTATTCTGACACCTGCAAAGGCTGTTGCCTTGGTGCCTTCGAAAACCCTCGTTAAGCCCAAATTTGTCATTGAAACTGCCGTGGCCCAAGGCATGACCAGGTCCGGAAGGTGCTACACTCCTGATGAGCTTGCTCTCGGAGGACAGAAGAAGGACCATGCTAAGAGGCCGATAAGCGAGGGGGAAGCAGAAGAATTCTGGAGAAGGATGCAACCGAAGGACTATTCCATCGTCAAACATTTAGAGAAGACTCCGGCTCAGATCTCCGTGTGGGCCCTGCTGATGAGCTCTCAGTCCCACAGGCAGGCCTTAATGAAAGCTCTTGATGATACATACGTACCCTCAGGTACAAGTAGTGATAACGTGGCTGCTATGATTCATCAAGTCATTCGGGGGCACCGGATCAGCTTTTGTGACGATGATTTGCCAGTCGAAGGAAGATCCCACAACAAAGCTCTACACATTACCGTGATATGTCGTGGAAAGGTTGTCAACTGTGTTTTGGTAGATGATGGGTCCGGTTTGAATATTTGCCCATTGACGACGTTGAGGCAACTAAATTTTGACCTTGGGAAACTGGAGCAGAATCAGGTCAATGTAAGGGCATTTGATGGTGTGCAAAGAGACACCTTAGGGGCTGTGACTTTGACCCTTCAAATGGGCCCCGCAGAGTTCAGTGCGCAATTCCAAGTATTGGACATAGACACTAGCTACAACCTTCTTTTGGGAAGGCCGTTTATCCACGTGGCTGGAGCCGTCCCCTCTACTCTCCATCAGATGATGAAACTTGTGTGGAAAAATGAAGAGTTAGTGATTCACGGCGAGGGAAGTCGCTCGGGCAAGCAGGTGTCGGTCATTGATGAAATGCCACAAGGCGCAGACTTTTACACGGTGGAGCTGGTGAATGCCGCCAACGAAGATTTGGCCCTCAACTCCATTCCAACCGTGTACAAAATGATAGCCACGGTGATGCTGCAAAATGGGTTCGAGCCAGGTTTCGGATTGGGAAGAGATTCCCAAGGAATTATTGAGCCTGTTCCGGTCCTTGCTCAGGGATCAAAGTATGGTTTGGGGTACATCCCCACAGATGATGATATGAAGATGAAGAGGAGAAGGGATCAAGAGTTGACTAAGCCGATCCCGCATCTCTATCACTCCTTTCCAATTCGGGAGCATGCCGAGCCTGAAGACGACGGGGAAGGAATCTGTGACCTGTTCAAGGAGATCAATGCCGTCATAGAGGAAGAGGCCGAGCCAGCTGGCTTTCGCGATGCTGAACCGGGGGAGATGCTGAAGAATTGGACGTCCACACCAATCCTGATGTCCCGGACTTTTGGGTAGAAAGGAATTATTTTGTGCATGCCAAAATCGGTGGTCGTTCGGAAGAGGCCCGAGACCCACCATTTCTGCATTTTCTTGATTTTGAATTTTGTTATGATTGTTTAAAGGGCGACGTGGCCTTGTGCCATGACCCAACTTTGCATCTTGATTCAATTTAAATGAAGGCCTCCTTATTTTGACTTTGTTTATTCGATTGCTTGTTATATTTTACTTTTCTAATTTTGTCTGTTTATGATTTCAGTAACGTAAGTTACAAACCTGCCAACGTCATGTCATGTCATGAGCTAAACGAACAAAATGAGGTAAATGACGATGTGGCTGACGACTACGACGAAGAAAGTGGGGAACCAGACTATGTAGTAGAAGAGTTTCGACAGTTCGAGAATCAACATAAACCGAATCTGGAGGAAACAGAGACGGTAAATTTGGGAGATTCAGAATGTGTCAAAGAGGTTAAGATCAGCACTCACCTGAATGAAACTCAGAAGGAGAGCCTGATTCATTTGCTTGCCGAATACAGCGATGTGTTTGTTTGGAAGGTCAGTGACATGCAGGGGCTGAGTACCGATGTCGTATCTCATAAGCTGCCTATCAACCCAGGGTTCGAGCCAAAGAAGCAAAAGACTCGGAAATTCAAGCCTGAGTTGAGTTTGAAGATTAAGGAGGAAATCACCAAGCAGATAGAGTCCCGGTTGGTAGAAGTAACGCAATATCCCACCTGGTTGGCGAATGTCGTTCCGGTCGCCAAGAAAGATGGAAAAATCAGGATTTGCGTTGATTACAGAGATCTCAACAAGGCTAGTCCAAAGGATAATTTCCCGTTGCCAAATATCCATATTCTGATTGATAACTGTGCCAAACATGAAATGCAGTCATTTGTGGATTGTTACGCGGGTTATCACCAGATTCTGATGGATGGAGAAGACGCGGAGAAAACGGCCTTCATCACACCTTGGGGGGTATATCACTACAGGGTGATGCCGTTTGGGCTCAAAAACGCCGGTGCCACTTACATGAGAGCCATGACGACTATCTTCCACGACATGATTCACAAGGAAATTGAAGTGTACGTGGACGACGTCATAATTAAATCCCGCGAGAGTTCGGATCATTTGACACACCTGCGAAAATTGTTTGAACGTTTGCGTAGGTACAACTTGAAGCTAAATCCCGCCAAGTGTGCTTTTGGAGTCCCAGCTGGGAAATTGTTAGGGTTTATAGTCAGCAGAAGAGGTATTGAGCTCGACCCTTCCAAGATCAAAGCAATTCAGGAGTTACCTCCGCCGAAGACGAGAAAAGAGGTGATGAGTTTCTTAGGGAGGTTAAACTATATCAGCCGGTTTATAGCACAATCGACGGTGGTATGTGAGCCCATCTTCAAGTTGCTGAAGAAAGATGCCCCAACTAAGTGGACTGAGGAGTGCCAGACCGCTTTCGACGCTATCAAGAGCTACTTGTCTAACCCACCAGTATTGGTTCCCCCGCGAGAAAGGAGTCCTTTATTGCTGTATTTATCTGTCTCAGATAACGCCTTTGGATGCGTACTTGGTCAACACGACGAGACAGGGAAGAAGGAAAAGGCTATCTACTACATCAGCAAGAAATTTACTCCGTACGAGTCTCGTTACACTTTGCTGGAAAGAACATGCTGTGCTCTGACGTGGCTTGCCCAGAAGCTGAGGCACTATTTGTCGTCGTATACTACATATCTTATCTCCAGAATGGATCCATTGAAGTATATTTTCCAGAAAGCGATGCCGACCGGGAAGCTGGCTAAATGGCAAATGTTGTTGAGCGAGTTTGACATCGTGTACGTGACTCAGAAGGCAATAAAAGCACAAGCTTTGGCTGATCATCTTGCGGAAAATCCCGTTGATGAAGAGTATGAACCTCTCAAGACATATTGTCACGATGAAGAAGTGTCATTTGTGGGTGAAGATATCTCTGAAGTTTATCCAGGTTGGAGATTATTCTTTGATGGAGCGGTGAATCACCAGGGTAAAGGTGTTGGAGCAGTCTTGGTATCAGAATCTGGTCAGCACTATCCTATGGCGGCTAAGCTACGGTTCAACTGCACAAACAACATGGCTGAGTATGAAGCGTGCATTCTCGGTTTGAAAATGGCCGTTGACATGAATGTTTACGAGTTACTGGTTATTGGAGATTCAGACCTCTTGATCCATCAAGTTCAAGGAGAATGGGCTGTGAAGAACCCAAAGATTGTACCTTATGTACAATATGTGCAAAACCTGTGTAAAAGGTTTCGCAAGATCGAGTTCAGACATACTCCCCGAATACAGAATGAATTAGCTGATGCTCTTGCCACCATCGCTTCAATGATCAAACATCCGGATATTGATTACATCGACCCGCTGGATATAGATTTGAAGGAGTATCCAGTCCATTGTTCACACGTGGAATCAGAACCAGATGGTTTGCCTTGGTATTTCGACATAAAGAGGTACTTGGAGTCTGGGACATATCCAGAAGACGCCACATCTAATCCAAAGAAGTCGATACGTCGTATGGCTCTCAATTTCTTTTTGAATGGAGAAGTCCTTTACAGGAGGACTCCAGATTTGGGTCTTTTGAGATGCGTGGATGCTGCTGAAGCCGTGAGGCTTATTGAACAGATACATGCTGGAGTCTGTGGCACACATATGAACGGGCTTACCTTGGCAAGAAAAGTCCTTCGAGCCGGTTACTTCTGGATGACTATGGAGAACGACTGTTGCAAATTCGTGCAAAAATGCCATAAATGTCAAGTGCACGGTGATCTGATAAGGGTGCCACCTCACGAACTCAATGCTATGAGCTCACCTTGGCCATTTGTAGCTTGGGGAATGGATGTCATCGGCCCTATAGAACCGGCCGCTTCCAATGGACACAGATTTATTTTGGTTGCCATCGATTATTTCACCAAATGGGTGGAAGCAGCCTCTTACAAATCAATAACCAAGAAAGTGGTGGCCGACTTTGTCCGCAACAATCTGATCTGCCGATTTGGAGTTCCAGAATCCATCATCACTGATAACGGTGCAAATCTCAACAGTCATCTGATGAAAGAGATATGTGAACAATTTAAGATTATTCACCGAAGGTCAACTGCTTATCGCCCTCAAATGAACGGAGCTGTAGAGGCCGCCAACAAGAACATCAAGAAGATTCTGAGGAAAATGATTGACAAGCAGCGGGGTTGGCATGAAATGTTGCCATATGCTCTACTGGGTTATCGAACGACGGTCAGAACATCAACTGGGGCTACTCCATACTTGCTAGTATACGGAACAGAAGCAGTCGTACCTGTTGAAGTCGAGATACCGTCACTGAGGATCATCCAAGAAGCTGAGCTAAGTAACGCTGAGTGGGTTAGCAAACGGATTGATCAACTAGCCTTGATTGATGAAAAGAGGATGGTTGCTGTTTGTCATGGCCAGTTGTATAGACAAAGAATGACTCGTGCTTTTCACAAAAGAGTAAGAACCAGAAATTTTGAAGTTGGTCAGTTGGTTCTTAAGCGTATTTTTCCTCATCAAGACGAGTACAAAGGAAAGTTCGCACCAAACTGGAAAGGTCCTTACATGGTCCGCAAAGTACTATCTGGAGGTGCTTTAGTCTTGTCAGAGATGGATGGCGCTGTGTGGACCAAACCTATCAACTCAGATGCTGTCAAGAGATATTACGCGTGAAGTTCGTTTTGCATTTCCCATCATTTATTTGTAATCTTCTGTTTGCTTGTATTTGTTCGAATTTGAATTCTTATCCCTCTTGTAATGAACTACGTCTGACCTGAATTCTCGAGAACGAGATACGTAGGCGGCCTATGTCGGCTTCGGTCACCCCATTTATTCCCCTTGATTATTCCTTGTGTTGGAACTACGTTTGACCTGATTCCTGCCTCAACGGGATATGTAGGCGCCACAACGGCTCGGTCATATACTCAAAAGATTTCCATTTCTCTCCATAATGGAAACTGGGACAGAATTTTTGAGAGGATCTCAAAAATTCATTTGAAGTTGGACTTCTTTAACAAGTCAAAACAGAAGACCAAATTCTACGACCTGAACTACGTTCGACCTGAATTCTCAAGAATGAGATACGTAGGCGGCCTTTGTCGGCTTCGGTCGGTTTCTTTGTAAATTTTATTCTTGTTAACCTTTAAGGGGAACTACGTTTGACCTGATTCCTGCCTCAACGGGATACATAGGCGCCACAAGGGCTCGGTCATATCTCTCGTAAGATTTCTATTTCCCCCTTCTACAATAGAAACTGGGACAGAATTTTTGAGAGGGACTCAAAAATTCTCCAAAAGGAACCTTCTCCTCAGCGGATCAAACTAAAGACATTTCGAGTTTGCGACTGGGACAGAATTTTTGAGAAGATCTCAAAATTCCGAGATTTGTTCGGTTACAATGGAAAGATGAGCAAGATACTAAACTGGGACAGAAATTTTGAGGATGGCCTCGAAATTTCGTCATGGGACTTCCCCACAAGTCCGGAATGCCTCTGAAATTCATTCGACAAGCGTCGGACTCAAAGAAGCTCGTTAAGCCTGACATGACATGACTTGGCATTGACTTTTTCGAGATGCTATTTCTTAAAAAATTTCTTGCTTCTCTTAAAAATTTCCCTTTTATATTTCATCTGTTTTGGCATAAGATATTTTCTTATCCATCAAGAGTCGGGAAATCGGGAAATCAACCGAGGACGTCAAGACAAGGAGCAAACAATCGACACAGATCAGTATGTTTAAAACTGACAATTTTTCTGTGGATGCAGGTTTATAGCTTCACTTCGAAATCGGCCGAATTCTTCCGACTGATGAATACGGAGAAGGAGAAGACTATCTCCAAAGCCGATGATTTTATTGAAAGCAAGAAGCATTTCATATCTTTATGCCAAGATGTTTGTGAATGTGTTTGTTTATTTCAAGTCATTCCCCAATACATGAAATTTACAAAGTGCCTGGCCAGATTCAAAGGTGGATCAAAAGGGAATCTCAGCAAAGATTTCACGATTTCTATAGAAGACGCTATTTGCATTGCGTTATCAAAGCAAGATGATAATTGTCGATCAAGACAATGCATTACCTCAGAAGAGACAGCTATGCAATTATTATTTTTATCATTATCGATCAAGTCGATATATTATTTGGAGGTCGTCTTGCCGTTACTATTCACGGGGGCAATATAAATAATTATGCATGACGAGAAGATTTCATGCCTCGTCAAAATTTATACATCGCGAGAAGAATTTATGCCTCGCTGGAAATCATACATCGCGGAAATCATGCATCGCGAGTCAATAATCATGCATGACGAGAAGATTTCATGCCTCGTCAAAATTTATACATCGCGAGAAGAATTTATGCCTCGCTGGAATTCATGCATCGCGAGTCAATAATCATGCATGACGAGAAGATTTCATGCCTCGTCGAAATTTATACATCGCGAGAAGAATTTATGCTTCGCTGGAAATCATGCATCGCGGAAATCATGCATCGCGGAAATCATGCATCGTGAGTCAATAATCATGCATGACGAGAAGATTTCATGCCTCGTCAAAATTTATACATCGCGAGAAGAATTTATGCCTCGCTGGAATTCATGCATCGCAGAATCATGCATCGCGAGTCAATAATAATGCATGACGAGAAGATTTCATGCCTCGTCAAAATTTATACATCGCGAGAAGAATTTATGCCTCGCTGGAAATCATGCATCGCGAAATCATGCATCGCGGAAATCATGCATCGCGAGTCAATAATCATGCATGACGAGAAGATTTCATGCCTCGTCGAAATTTATACATCGCGAGAAGAATTTATGCCTCGCTGGAATTCATGCATCGCGGAATCATGCATCGCGGAAATCATGCATCGCGAGTCAATAATTATGCACGACGAGAAGATTTCATGCCTCATCAAAATTTATGCACGACGAGAAGAATTCATGCCTCGTCAAAATTTGCACATCGCAAGAAGATTTTATTCTTCGCTGAAAGTTATGCATCGCGAGAAGATTCATATCTCGCAGGAATTTACGTATCGCGGGAAGATATTCATGACCCGCAAGAAGACGTACTTGGATAAAGAAAGAGCAATACTTATCCATTGGCCTCGACTGCATTATGTTATTTCTTATAAAAATAAACATCATGGAGAGCATCGAAGATGACAACAAAAGAAACATCAATATCGCATCAGCATTTATTTATTTATTTCGACATCAAGTATGGAATACATTGAAGATGATATTGCAAAACACAAGGCATAAACTTTATTTGCTGGACGTCAGACCGATCGAGTCGACGTCGAACATGGAAGAGAACAATGAAGTGTCGACATGGTAAAAGACACTGTCTCCCATCCTAATTGCATTTTTTAAGCTGACGAGTTTTATCTCAGTCTTTGTCGAGAGCATCCAAAAGGATGAATTCTCCAAAAACCACAGGTGCGGACGACATCAAAAAGGATGCAGCACAACGTGGAACTTTTCTTAGCAGCGAACTGGGACATAGTCCAAAGAGGAATGTCAAACTCTTAGGACGCGAGCAGAGGAGCGACTTCCACCATGATCGAACCACCCCTCTCGAGGCATACGGGTTTTCTCTAGTTCTGTCAGTTTCCGTCTTGCGTCCGGAAGTTTTGTTTTATCGGGGGCGAGTTTCCAATCTGAGTGACAATGCGCCAGGAGCTTTGGAAATTATGTCCGTGTAAGTTCTTACCTATGGATGTGAAGAGCTCCACATTCATGGCTAAGAGGTTACAAGCCTCTTTTTCATACTCGTTTAATGTGTCACTCGTCCAAAACCGAAGGTTAGCTAGCATAATAGTTTTCCTTTTCCAACGATCTAGTCGAACTACACACAACCTGATTCCGAAGGTTTAAGGGTATGTAGGCGGATTCAATGTTGAAAACTCGGCTGTATTCCAACATTCGCTCTCGAATTCTATTCTCGAGCATTTCGATACCTTCATAATTCGGTGTCGAGGTGGCTTTTGATTCTTTGAAATCGTGCGGTAAATCAAGCTTATCGAACTACGAGTGGCCTGAATTCCCATATAGCCTGAGATATGTAGGAGACCCGTTTGCAAGGGTTCGACCATAATTCCTAAACTCTTTGTCAAATCCTTCTGTTTAAAAACGAATGGAGTTGGTCAAAATTGGTTCGGTCAACTTCATTTTCCTCGAGTTGCTTGCATCAACCCAAGTAAAATGAGGGACAGTTGTTGACACCCAATTTTTGACCCGCGTTGGTATAAATTAATTATCGAGCTTCATGAGTTTTTAAATTATTTAAGTTAATTAGTTTTATAAGTCTTGCGAAAATTAAAAAAAATATATATATAAAAAAAAATATGTATATATATATATATATACATATATATGTATATGTATATGTATGTATGTATGTATATCTTAAGTTTGGAAAGTATTCTATTAAACTAGTTTACTTTAAATCACAACTATATTTTGAATCTTTATTTTATAATCTAAGTAGTTATGTTGCTAAATAAATAGGCTCGTTAATTAATTAATACAAATTCGTTTATTTAATGCTTAACGAGTTTATCATTTTTATTTAATCCAACTCATTGCCCCTTCAAGCACATCTAAAACGTTTGGGCCTCTTTCCTCTTATTCTTAATGGCCCAAACCCTTTAATCCCAACCCATTTCCTTTTGTTACCATCAGCCCACTCTTATTCCCAACCCAATTACACCTCAGGCCCATCTCCCTTTAATTTTAACCCAACCCAAACCCCCTAATTTCCTACCCGACCCAGCCCCAAATCTCTTGACCCGCTCTCTCCCTCATCTCCCCACGCTCTCGCACTCTCGTCCTCTCTCCTCTCCTTACCTCTCTCCCGCGTCTCACGCCCACGCTCGCTCTCTCCTTTCCCTCTCGGCAGAACCCAGAAAAACAGACGTCACTTCCTGCAAACGCCAACAACCCCACGTTCTTCTCCTTTCCCCTCCATTTCGCGACTCGCCAACAACCCCGCAGAAACCCATACCCTGTCGAGCAGGTCTGCGAAACGTCGTATGTCACCCTCGCCAACACGCAATGGCCATGTGGGTTTTGACCCAAAGGGATTTCGATTTTGAGTTCAAAAAATGGGCGAAAAATCGTATCACCGACCCTACATAAACCCCTCCCATCTTCATAAAAAGGGGGTTTTTTTTTTACGAAAAGGAAGGGGATTTTTTCATTGAAAATTCGAAAAAGTAGAACTTGGGTGGGACATTTGGTCAAAATTAAGGCTGAATCTTTGGTCGAAACTTTTGGAAGCAATTTGAGGTTGGAGATTTCTGGACGAGAAGAAACTGTTTCGTCGAGTGTCGTTGCGACGTTCTTGTTCGAACGAGCGAAGCAGAGGGTGATTTCGGGTTCGTGATAGTGGTGCTCCGCCTGCTCGCTGTTCCTGTTTCGCTGCACTTAAAGAGGTAACACCCATCTTGACCCTCGACTCTTAGTTGTATTTGCTGTTTGTACGTTAGTGTTTAGGTTGGTCCTAGCTGCTGTGAATTTGTTGTATTGCAGAAGTTGTTTGAAATTCGTGGTTTTGTCTTGTCTTCGCTTGATTTTGTCGCAACTTCCTATATTTGATAAAGTTTTAAAGGGAACGAACGGTGTGTTTGGGGTATTTCGATCCGCCGAGTCTGTTTCTGCTCGTTTCCTACTTCTTCCTCCTGTTTGTATTCGTACATGAATTAGTCTAAGGGAATCCTTCGTTATTCTGCTTATAATGAGTTGTAGATGTTACCCGTTTGGTCGAAGTGAAATCCAATTTCACTTCAAACTCTTCTGTCATCATCTTTATTGTTATTTCTTCTTTTGTTTTTCTTTCACTTTGATGTCAAACTGATGTGATGATGGGTTCGACAGAAGCGAAGTAGTGCATTGAATGATAATAGTGATGTCTTATTTTGGAGTTTTGTCCTTTTTCTTTGTTGTTAGTTCGACAAGTCAAATTTTAAATTCAAAGATTGCCATATACATGCCTTGTTCTGTGAAATTGAAAGTTCATTGTTTGGTTGGGTAAGTAAAATCGCCTCAATATAGTTATTTACCTTGGGTCGACTCGCATTTGTCATTACTTTTCTCTTCTGTCGTCTCTTTCATGTTGCGCTAGTCCGACCTTTCTTGTTACATGTTGTCGTGTGTCTATTGATCCGATTAGATACTATCCATGGATATGCATTTTCTATTAAGTTAGTTTGTTTTCTTGTATATGTGCCCGTTGAATCGAATATTAATTCCTTTTGTTTATTGTGTGGCATGTAAAATCCGTTTGAGTTCACCACGAACTCTCCTTCTCCGTATCTCGAGAGAGTCGTAAAGACTCATAGTCT